CGGCTTGCCCGGTGAAATACCACGACCACACAGAAGACAGGCGTGAAGTGGAAGCAGTTCCGCGTTTCGTCTGATGAGTGTGCGTCCCGGAGGCCTAACTTAGTCCTCTTTCCCTTACCACCCATTTTCTTGTACGGAAAGGATGGGAAGTGGAAGTGGACTTTCCGGATGAGAGGATGCACGGAAAGGGAATATATTTTCTTTCTGTGCATCCTCTCCTCCGTTGATTAAAGGTAGGCAACGCATATGCAATTGCGTATGTCTATATAGCGCATATCGGCGGTACACCAAATATCTCATACAAATTTTGACATAATTGAAGATGATGCGATGACGATTGTCACTTTCGCGCTAAGCCCCCTATAATATATGTAACTACACGCTTTTTTCAAACCATGGGAACTATAAAATTAAAACTTTTTCTAACAAACATCCATCTAAATATTCGCATTTAGTTAGATATTTTTGATGTAATTTACAGACGTACATACATTTTTTTTTTTGTAAAATATATTCAGAATGCGAAATATTTAGGTTTATGTACAGAATAACACTATTTTTTATTCAATCTGAAAATAAATTGAGCTCATCGTACATTCGGAAAGAATTTTATTAAGAGATGTACGAGGAAAGAAACGCAAGGCCGTCGTTGACATTGAGTGACGGATAACGACTCAGGGGAGCTGAAGATTGGGTCGTTTTGACGTCATATCGCGTCCGCTGTGGGAAGTAACAAATATGTTAAGCGCAGCGGAATACGAATCTACACACAAACCAAGCGTAAAGTGGAAATATTTCCGTAGTTCGTCCGATGAGAAAAGCTAATTGTAGTCTTCTTCTGTTTCCCAACATTGTCATAAGGAAAGGATGGGAAGGAGGAGTGGATATCATTCGATTGTGGGGGAAGTGGATTTAATGAGCAGCGGTCATATTTTATTATCTTATTTTAGCTTAGCTAACTTATTTTATAAATACGGATGTATGGATGGATGGATGTTTGGTAGAAGGTATCTCCAGTACTGCTGCATGGATCTTGATGAATGTAACTACAGAAATAAAGTTTTTTAATTCCGCTGGCGACTGATAGTAAGAAATATATTACAAATTTAGATAAACAATATTTTCGAATGATTCATTATTGAGGAATAAAGAGTAGTGTTATGTCGCAACCAGACGTCGTAGTTGACAACGAAAATCAATCGTCTATAGACTGGAGAGATCGCGAAGGCGGGAAACAAACACACATTGTCGCTATGGATGCATTTAACAAATACGTAAACAAACTAAGACATATAGCATACTATTGTAAAAGCGAACCAAAACCAAAGCGAAGCTATAAAAATCAATTGCTTGTTCATTAGTTTCGTTAAAACTTGAGAACTCCTGAATGGATTTATCTTATCTTGGTCTTAAATTTTCGTGGAGGTCTATTGAAGGTTTAAAGGGTGAGAAAAATTCGAATAATTGCCGTAAAAACCGCATAAAAAACCCTTTTCTTCTTGACACAGATATAAACATAGTCTGGAAGACCACGTAGGCTAATAATTATGTTTATATTATAATAAAAACGCGCGGACGGAGACGCAGGCCACAGCTAGTTTGATATAAAATTTTCACAGAACTAATCCGGTTAATAATATATATATATAGATTCAACATCCGCACAATTCATTATAGTATAAGTTCTTTAATTTGTTTTCGTGTGTCGGGGTTTAATTGCTTCGTTTTCGCTTTCTCGGCTGTGTGACACAGGTTTAACAGTTGTTGTGGACACTATGATGTCATAAGCGATGATAACTCCGCCGAAATAACCTACCTTCGCATATCGTTGTTGTGTGCGTAGGTCATGTCCATTAGTTATTTTTTCAATTGTAAACGTAGAATTAACAATGTAAAGATTACGTACACGTGATATCTTACAGTAGACAAAGTATTCTTGTAAGATTCACTTGTCTCCTTATTGTTTCGCCTTCACATTTGTTTATAAAATAATACTTGGAATTTTATTTAATAAAGAATGTTGACGTTATAGCAGTTGCCCGCGACTTCATTCGCGAGGGATTAAAAAAAATCTAGTTTAAATTGCCCATGTCACCCGGGGATAGTGTAGATTCCCAACAGTGAAAGAATATTTCAAATCGGTTCAGTATTTTCGGAGCCTATTCAATATAAACAAACAAATCTTTTCTTTAACATGTATTAGTAAAGAAAACTCGTTACAATGACTTTTCTTGGTTTACGTCCACGGAGCGAAGGCTACGCCGCGTAGCGTGATGCTCGTAGCATGAAGTTAAGCCTACAAACTTCCCTTATAATAACTGTCAAATTAAAAAAAAACTTAACGTAATAATCAACATACATAAAGTTACAAATTATATTAAATTAACCAAGTTATTAATAAAAGAGAAACCAATGGCAGGGTCGTATTTGCTATATTTTATTTTTAGTGTAATTTCTATTTCGATTCGACTTAATGGAAACGATGATGCAACTTTCAAAAACGCATATAAAGAATATTCTGGAACGATCCAGAGCAAGTGACAATTCTTGTTTACCACGACAATGAGCTATGAATCATCATTGTGTTTACTGATTCACTTGGAAATGAATCTCTCAATTATTATATTATACTAGCGATGGCACGCGACTCGATCCGCACGGAAATAAAATCAAGAAGTAGTCTATGTGTTCTTCCGGACTATGTTCTACATCTATGCTAAATTTGAACGAGAAACATGCAGCTATTTTAGAGATACTTTTTGACAAACATCCATCCATCTATACATGAAAACATTGGCATTTATAATATCAGTAACATGACTTCGGATGCATTATATTAAAAAACCAAAATAGGATTCAATTTCTATCCATCTATCCAAGTACACCTCAGCAATTGAAAAAACAAATTCACCAACAAACTCGGAATGATTGCATCGATTATTTAGTTACAAAATACATCTAAATCTGATACTTTTTACAATAACCAGATATTCCTGCTGGTTACTCGACTTACTCAATTGTAAACAGTCGACGAAAGATATGTAAACACGCTGTCAAATTATTGTTGATACAGCACTATGAGAGATTTTCTAAATAGCTGTAGAAAAAGAAATTACTTCATACAGGTGGGTGTTGGATGTTGACCTTCGGAGTTGGATGAACCAACCCGTTATTTTTAAACGAACACCTGAGGCCGGTACGAACAGTATTTGTTACAATATTTGGAATTCCCTAGATTAATATCATGTATGGTAAATCCGTGTTTAAATTTTTATATTGTCCGTGACAACGTCTACACAGAATTTAAAAAAAAACATAATAAGTAGCCTATGTGTTCTTCCAGACTATGTTCTGTGCCAAACTTCATCAAAATCCGTTCAGCCGTTCCGGAGATATCTTCAAACAAATCCATCCATCTTCGCATTAGTAAGATTAGTAAGACTAGCTGTCATCCACGACTCTATCCGCAAGAGATTAATAAATAGATAGTAGCCAATTCTCAGATCTACTGAATATGTAAATAAAATTTCATAAAAATAGGTCAAGCTTTTTCGAAGGAGTATAGTAACTAACATTGTGTTTCTAGATTAACAAATAATATAATTTACCATAACTAATAAAGTCAATAAAACTGCACTATCTTTTACATTCAAATTACAACACATTTTTACGAAATTTCTGAGTTTATTTTGAACAAGTAGGCCTACCTACATGGTACGGTACTGATTCTTCCCATCCCTTTCTATATCTTTAAAGAAAACAAAGATAAATGTTCATATGTTATAACTGACAATACGCGATCTACGATAAATTAACAGCACTGTCATAAAAAATTCAGTGCAAAACCTCTAATTAAATGTACTTTAAACTTTTGCACTAATTCGTTTTTCTTTCTTCTTTACAGATGTCAGCGGGGGATCCACGATGATTGATTACTTCTCAAGTGTCAAACGTCTACGTATATTTTAATTAGTGTTCACACGTGTTATTAATCTAATTTAAATTAAGAATTAATTAAAAATATTAATAGAAATATTGGCGATGTTAATCAATTTAAATATTTTTTTTTCATTGAAAATTGGCGGGAATAATATTATTTATAATCTGTCTTAAAAAATTGTCTCTAAATTACTCTTTGAATGCGTGATCCGGAAAAAACTTTCAACGCATTGGTTTGTGTAAATTTAGACACATTGCACGTGTAAAATTAATATTTTTGGCACATGTCAACTTTTTTTTCGGCCACTGCAATGAACATGAATTATAACCAACAATTTGGCAACATGTTGTAGAGAATATAAAGCAACAATTTACATTCATTCCTAATTGATAGTTTTATGTTCTGAAAAGACGTTCCGTTACACGCAAAGATATAAGCATTCATTCTTAATGCATGCATAGACAATAGTTTTTTTTTTAGAAAAAAAGGCTAAGGTACATTAGTTGAAATATTTTAAATTTACCTATTTTAGTAGCATCCATGGTATTTTGAAAGGTTGTATTTTTGAGAGAAAGATAGTGCTCTAAGTGGCGGCTTAGGGTTACTATATTTCAAAAGGAAGAAAGATGATGGATATATGTTTATCATGGTTGTATTAAAATAGTGAAATTTAAAATACTCTGAATTATGATGGTACAAGAACAATTAATAATAACATATTAAATTGAAACTGTAATTTTATAAATAATTGTGTTTACGGTGTTTTTGAGGTTAGAAAATGCTACGTAATTTTCGATCGATGTTAAATTTTTATTGATGTTTTTTTTTTTCGCCGAGTCATCCGCAAATTCGCTATCAGCTCGTGAATAAGTGTCGTTTAGTATATTTAGGTCACGGTCAAGACGCATCTACGCACTTCCCGATAGCAACTAGTAACAACTAGCTTTGTATTTAAACACGGAATGCGCAACATTTTGTTTTGTTTAACTTATTTTTAGGCATTTATAGGATACGGTAAAGTGTTTTTTATTTGTACCTGGCTCTATATTTACGCTATTGAATTTTATTTTTTTATTATTCTAATATATTTTTTTATTTTTTTAAATCACAATTTACGTTCTCAGATACGCGGCGCCACAGTCACTTCAAAGGCCTGAAAGTAATCAACTTCAGGTTCACAAGTAAGGTTCTTCAGAATGAAGTAGACGAGGCGTTCCTCAACATCCACGTCCAGGAGTTGGAGCAGCGGCTGAACGTGACGTTGGGGCCAGAGGAATTCTTCTCAATAGGTTTACAAGTGAACAGGGTGACGAGGAACAGTCAGGGTAGTAAAGCTTCTGTGCCATACACGGAGAGCTCAATAAAGATGTCCAGAAAAGAACTGAAGATCGGGAGATGGGTCAAGTTGAATGTGACTAATATGGTGGCGGAATTCTTCAGGCTGCCGAGGGAGAACCTAGCTATAGTTGTGAGAGTACAAGACTCCAAGAATAGGATGAGTTTGGTGGTACCACATCCAAGCTCTGAATCAAATAATGCTTTGGTAAGTAATTTTTTATTATAAAATTTTGTATATAACTACTAGCTGTGCCCGCGACTTCGTCCGCGTAAAAATTGTCTTAGAGCCGCGAGCGACACTAAAAGAATTTTTCTAAAATAAACGTTGCCTAAGTTACTCCTTATTGCATCAGCTATATGCCAATTTCAGAGATTAGCCGGAACAGACAGACAGTTTTTTTATGTAGCAATATGAAGGGTAGTAAATACATTATGCCTTTTTATTATATTATAATTTTAAAAGTATATATACGATGTTCTTTCCGCGATATAGCAATCGCGTTCTCTTGCTAAAATTAAATGTGTTATCAAATTATTATTGTAAATTCATATTACCGGGATCATGGATCAAAATATAATAATATAACATTGCCAGATTCTGATTTGATTGAAAAATATATGTGCAATAAATATTAATAAATAACAACATAAAACATTCTAACAACCGTAATCTTTATATTTTATCTCGAGCCGTTTTTAATTAGAATTATATTAAAATCTAGGTTTGAAGCAAACCTATCTAAAATGGCAATCGTAAAACATGAAGGTCTAAAACGAATATTAGTGAGAACGTTGCGACTACTTCGATTGCTTATTTGAATTTCGAATATTTCGATGGATCTATGTTGTTATGAGATATTTCCAGAACGGTTGTATAGATCTCCCTAAAATCTGGCATAGTTGTAGAACATAGTCTTAAAGAACACATAGGCTACTTATTGAGGTGTTCTTTAATTTCGCGCAGACGAAGTCAGCTAGTTTTGACATATTTGTCGATGACATTATGAAGACATATCGCAAATAATCATAATACTCTTTGACATTTCGCGATCACTAAATAAAATTTCTTTGTTCCAGATGCCATATATAGAAGTAAGTCTTAGAGACAATACACACAAACGTACAAGAAGAACAATTGGCATGGATTGCACTGAGAATTCTAAAGAAGTCCGCTGTTGTCGGTACCCGCTGTCGGTAAACTTCGAAGAGTTCGGTTGGGACTGGATAATAGCACCGAAACAGTACGATGCTAATTATTGCAGTGGCGAATGCCCATACAGTTTCCTTCAGAAGTACCCACATACACATTTAGTTCATTTGGTAACGCCCCAAGGCAGCGGTGGTCCTTGCTGTGCCCCTCGCAAGATGAGCAGCATTTCTATGTTATATTTTGATGACGATCTTAATATTATCTATGGTACGATACCAGGCATGGTTGTCGAAAGCTGTGGATGTTCATAGCACCTCTACGGAAATTGCTTCAAGTGACTTAAATTAAGAAAAAAAAAAACAAATTCCCTATTTGAAAGTTCCGTACCCAGTAATAGGTGAAAGTTACGAATTTGTTTTTACGTATCTGTTTGTTAAAAACAAAATGGTCGACTTTTGGCGCTAAAACTAACATAACCTCAACGACGAAATCGCACTTTTTCTATGACAATTTTTAAAGTTTATATATTATAATATTTCATATTGATCTATACATTTAAGTATAAAACAAACAAATATATTTTCGTATCGTATTTTACTGTATTTTAGTTTTTTAGTCGGTTAGAAAATAGTACTAATACATATAAAATTTCGGGCATAAATTTTTTAGTCACTTGAAGCGTAGTGTTGTGTATTGCTAATGTTTAGCCGAAGACTGCGAACTAATGTGTGCCGTGAGTGTATATTTTATACGTTTTTATAAATCTAGATATAAATACATACCTTATTCTGTAGCTTTAACAAAATCGATATAAAGATTGTTTAAAATTTACAGAATAAACGGTATTTTAAGGTTATTAATATAATTTATCCCTTTTCTAAATGTAAGGTACTTATTTACCATTTCAATACCTTACTTTCTTACCTTCAATATCTTTCAGTTTTTACGCATTGTTAAAATTCAGAGGTCGTATTAATATCATTTTTTCTTAATTATCTGTGTTAAAGTAAATTGAATTTGTACAGTGTTGCTATATTTAACCGTATCCATTTGTATTTATGACAAGTTAAATAACTCATAACTTGATATTAAGTACATATGTGTATTTAAAATCAATAAATTCTCCTTTAATAGGTAATTGACCTCTAACATCATTGTGCCGGTGATAAAAATGAAATGAAACTTGACTCGATGCACTGTCAATCTTTTTATGCAACAATAACATATTTTGTTTTGCTTTTAAAACGATATAACTAAAACGTATCGTATCTCAAAATGGCATTTATACTTTCAATGTTAAGTCTTAAATTCTAAGATTCTAGGCAAACTGTAACAATATTATGAATAAGTTATTTTTCGTAGGCACAAATAATCTTTTTTATTTAATTACTTGTAGTTTTTTATTTATATAATAATATATTTTTAGCAAATTGATATGTTTGTCGTGATATTGATTTAAATTGACGATTTTTTGACAGCAAAGAGTTGCTATTAAAAAAGTTTTTACTTCAAACTATTTATGAATAATACTAATGCAAAGGACTGGAACAAAAGCATTCTTATATCAAACTTGATTAATATTTATAAAAGCATTGCCTTTGTTTGACAAACATTTGGCAAATTGCCACAAAAAAAGGTAATATATCTTGAATTTTTAACTCTACGTTCATTAGTTTTTATATTTAATAGTTAAAACCTTTATCATTTTTTCATCTTTAAATATTCAAGAATGGGTGAAGTATGAATTTAAAAAAATCGCTAGTAAAGTAATGATTTTTTAATTTTTTTTCGATATTACAGCTATGATATCAAAATATGGCGCAGATTCATATTCTTTCTTATCTGAAATGTCATTTTTGTATGATAGTAATTAATTATTATACATTTTAAAGGTAATTTTGATGTTTTAAGTGATTTTCTTTGCCTTTTTTTTGCAATTTTGAAGTTAAATTTATTTGTGCCTAAGAAAATGCATTTGTGACTATTTTAATTTTTTTTTCGCAGTACCTTCTTGCTTGTAAGATAAGGGGCTCGGCGTTTTCAAATATATTTTAAGTAGCTAGATAGATTTATATAATAAAATGAATTTTCTATTAACAACATACTTGTGAGATTTCTCTTAGACATTTTTTTTGGATCTCGTTCAAAATTATTCAATGTTTTAGAAGAAGAAAAAAATCTTGGAATACCTTTAAAGGACATTTGAAGTTCTTTTAGCGGGTAGTGCTTAAAGTCTTTTAATTTAAATACCCAAGAATAATCGACTCTGTACCTACCCATTATTTTATGTTAGGAATAAATAACGTATTATTTGGAAGTGATTTAAATGTTTTTTTTTAATGTTTCGTAATTTAAGTTTTAGAAAAATTTTCGTCGATATATTTTTTTTTTCAAAAAATTAGATCTCATTTTTGGGCAACTGTTTTTATTTCGTGTGCCTTTACAAAAGATCTCTATGCTTTTGGATGTCAATTTTTATAAAGATTTATACAAAATTTTTAGCATTAAGTGATTTTGTTCTCTTACTATAAATTCTTGATGATTGTCAAAATTTTTTTTTAACTAACATTCTCATGTCATTAAGGTGTATGAAATAAATTTTCAAATCATATTTTTTTATTTATTTGTGTTACTAAAGATGATTCCACTGTAAAAATTTTAACAAAACATTAAATCATCATTTTAAAAAATGACAAGGGTATTTTTTTAAAAGTTTATAAGAATCATATAAAAAGAAAGTCGTGAAAAAAACACTACTTATAATAAAAAAATAACTTAATAAAATCGAAAATCTGGGCATTTATTGCTTTTCGAGGTGGAACAGTGTTCGCCGAGTCAGCTAGTTTTTACACAATTGTATCTTTTCATTTCTGTTCGAGTTGGGTTTTTTCTACACAGGTTTGCTCATTTAATAGAAGAAAAAAAAAACAATTTCAATTTGCGACGGTCCTCTGAGAACAGCCACTCTTTATTTATATAAACTTTAAATTATTTACACATTTTGTTTGTCCTACTTTACATTAATATACTCGTCAACGCTCTTTTAGAAAATACAATTAAAACTTAAAAAGAAAAACATTATGTAACATAAATACAAAATGACACGTAATATACAAATTACAATATTTTAAATGTGGGGAAAAAATATCAGACTAGTTTTATACCAAATACAAAAAATAACCGTCCCACGATATTTTTTTTTATTTTTTTCTACCTTAACATTAAAAGGTGTTACATAAATTCTGGTCACACTGAACCGATTTTATTTATTTAATTTATAAATAAAATAAACCGGTATAATTTTTAAACATTCCAGTCTAAGTATATTGCTTCGACGATCCCAAAACGTACAAGGAAACGAATTTAATTTATTGTACTATTATCAATTCTAAGAAACAATTCCTTAATTATTTTAAGGCTCTCACTGGAAAATATAAATCACAAACAAAAAATGTCGCCTATAACCTCAAATTTATAAAAAAAACTTTAAAATTATGATAGTCTACAAAAACATCAAGCTGTTAAAAAAACATTCAAAATGTTTACTCGTTATTGACAAAAAAATACAAAAAATTGCCTTTCACATATTTAAATATACAAAATTTTAGTTAAGTTATTCAAACTGTATACAAAAACAAAAAGAGGTTAATAAGTTCATTTTTGTTTTTTTTTAATAATTGTATACATCAACTAGTTAGTTAAGTATAAAATTAACAGTTTATCCGTCATTTTATTAAAATTAAATCTACTTTATGTAGAAATAATATCGATTTTTTTTATTCATATCGACGTATTTTTAAGTAAAACTTTTTAAACGCTAAGTTCTAAAGTACAGGAAAGTGCACAACAAGGAGTGTCAGTCTATAATAGGTTGGATGGATTTCTTTAAAACGTTTCCAAGGTTAAAAGAAAAGCCCATAGCTGAGAGGCCCTTAACTTAGGGCCCTTATCCGCGGGGCCCTAACTGAGGGGCCCTAACAGAGGATGTCTGGCGAGGGATGTGCCCAGCGTAGGTTTACATGGCAGTGTACAAGAGCACGAACAGATGTCTAATCTAAAGCAAATAAATGATACATCACAGATCATTAAAAACTACGATAACGAGAAATGCAATACACTGTGGAAATGTCGTTGGTTAACGGAGAATTAAACATTCTGGAGACCTTTATGTGTTTTTATATATATCAGTAGCAAAATCATATTTTTTTAGACCCATATCACACGTGGGAAAAGATTTTTTTTAAATATTTTGCATATTTTTTACAAGTTCATCAATTTTACAAGACTTTTAATAATACATTTGATTATTTTAATAAAAAAACATTTGTAAATGATAAAAAATTTCATATTTATGTTAGGAATTCGTAAAATTTTTATAATACTTTTCACAAACAAGTAAAGTATTTTGTTCATAAAGGTATCTTATTGTTTAATTCTCCGTCCGAACAAAACCGAGAAGTTTTTCAGTAGAAATAGTAAGGTCACACCGGAAGTACATTCACTAGAACACTAAACGCTAATTATTTACAAATTGCTATTTCAACATCCGCAGAATAACGCAACACTGAAACTTGAGCCGTTACTTTAAATAGGATCACAGTGGAGAAAGTGATTTAATTTTAAGTTTTACATCTAACCATCTATAAATATAAATATTTTAAAGTCCACGTTATGGCAAGTTTCTACATAAAATGCTATCACTTAAAAACCTGTCCACTAAAGACGATTCTACGTCCATAGAAAAACTCGAGATATCTGTACAAAGTCTTTAAACTCGCGAAATATTGGATTATGACGTCATATCGCGGGATATTCAGAAACTAGGTTGTGAGACGGTCCGCGGGTTGCCGGACTGCGGCTGGTACACGTCGTAGGAGTTGTGAGGCTCCAGGTGACACACCACGTTGTTCTCCCCGTTGAGTACCGCAGCCAGCGCCCTCATGTTGTTCTCCTGAGGCTGGTGGTACGGGTGAGCCAGTCTCCCGCTTTCGTATGCATGTCTATCGTACGCCCTATCCAACGTATCCCACTTCCCGTACTTCCCGTAATGCTCCTGCTCATGATGATGCCTGTCTCCAGGACTGTATGATATCAGAGGCCGATGGTCTCCGAAGAACTTGGAAGATGACGAGCCGTGATGCCCCGGGTTTTGCCGGCAGTTGTCGGGTCCGGAGTTATCGTCCGACATGTCCGACATTAGAGTCTCGTTCCTCTCAATTTCCTCGTAGACGGGGTCGTCCTGTATCACTCTGAACTCTTGCTCGGATCCGCGCCGATACATGCGGCCTTGTTGGGAGGCTATTTCTGAGTAGGTGTGGTTAACACTTTGACTGCCGTGGT